CACGTGTCTCCGTGATAACAGTATTAAAGCAGTGTACTGTGAGTAGTACGCGGTAACTCCTCTTTCTGGCGTGATATACTTTAGAGTCTTTTAGGTGAAATTCTCGTGGAGAATAGTGTTTGAATACACACATCTAACGAAATTTGACTATAGTTAAAATTTCCTTTTGGAAGATAGGACATGCAAGTGCGTGGCCTGCGGGATGTGTCACCTAAGGTTCAAAAGTCGTCCAATGCGCACTCCGCGACAGATAGATGAACCTAGCTTGCTGTAACATTGGTCAAGATCTCTACCCCTGTCCTCAGCACACCGCCTTCAAGGGCATAAGCTTTCAGTGCGAACCGTGTCTGGAAGTGGCTACCGACAAAAAACTTCTGATGAGCTTACGCCCCCTCAGCGTACCTACTGCTCCCGCACAAGCTGTTTAATTCTGACTGCGAAAATCCTGTTTCATCTGTGTGCATGCCTGGGTCTGGGTACTCTACGCCCAAGGAAAAAAAGAAGCCGTGCCTTCTCCACAACGTTGGCGGGAACACTGTTGCCCGTCGGTCCTGGCAATCCAGATCAAAGTCGAAGCCGGATCACCTCTTCCTCAGAGGGTGCACTATTAACGCAGGGTAGTGTCTGTAAAGAACAGTTGGATGCAACGAAGCCAAAAACAAAGACGAGAACATATGCTGCTGTGGCGGGCATAAACGCTGCCGAAACATCCGCGATGTACCCGGTCAAGAGAGGAAAAAACAGTTTCAAGGCCTAAAGCAAAATGTAACCCAACGCAACTGGTGCTCATTACTGACAAAGTTACCCAACTTGAGCGGCTCATTCAAGAAAAGTCAGTCCACAAAAGCCAAGTCGCTCAGGAGGAAACAAAGCACCTCGTGAGCGTTGCTTAATAATTGCGAATGCTCCTGAATTCTACGAAGAATCATCAGCTGAAAGGATTCCTGACGACCAGGACATTTTCCATGGCGACATTCAACGTCCGCACTCTAAGACAAACAGGTCAGCAGGCTGCACTCGCACGCACCTTGGACACACTGGGTGTTGATGTGTGTTGTGTGTCCGAAACTAGGATTAATGACCCTAACGGGGTTATTGAATTAACTGCACCCGGCTTATCCTCTCGTTATTGGTTGCACGCATCCGGAGACGCCGATGCGGCACTCACGGGCCAAGCTGGTGTAGGTATCATTCTCAGCTCCAAGGCTGAGTCATCGTTGGTTGATTGGATTCCGGTGAACAGCCGTTTATGTGCAGCCCGTTTGACGACATCAGCTAAGGTGAATTCGCGAAGTAAAACAAAACGCTGTTTGTTTGTGAGTTCTGCTTATGCTCCCACCGACTGCAGTTCTAATGCAGTCAAGGACACTTTCTATCACGAACTGAACACGCTGCTACGCAGTGCTACTAGTTCAGATATTATAGTACTTGCAGGGAAAATGAACGCACAAGTAGGGTGTCTGAGCTCTTCAGAGGCTCAGCTGGGTGGTAAGTATGGACTTAACGCCGAACGGACTGACAACGGCCAGCGTCTGCTGCAACTGTGTGCGGAGCACCAGTTGTTTCTTACTAGCACTGCTTTTAGACACAGTGGGCGCCGAAGTGCCACTTGGCGTCCACCTGTAGCTGGCCAGTGATGGACCCAAATTGACCACATAGCCATAAGTTACAGGTGGCGCGGTTCCATGCTGGATTGCCGCTCGTACTGGAGTACCTGTGTCGACTCTGACCATGCCTTGGTGCGCTGTCGTTTCTCCATGAACTTTACCGGAAGGCGCACAAAGCGTCTCCCCCGATTGGCAACGGAGAAATTGTCCTAGCCCTCTGTCAGGCAAGCCTATCAAGAAGCACTTCATAGCGAACTCTCGCTGTCTTGTCCTAATGATACTGAACTTCAGTGGAATAGGATCTCGGCCACTATGCACGACGCAGGAGCATCTGCTTGTGGCACTATCAGTCGTCATCGCACCAGTCACTGGATATCCGAGAGGTCCGTGAACCTGTTGGAAGCTAGAAGGCACCTCCCGGCTGGTTCTGAACACAATGTGACCAGACGGGCTATTAGGCGTGAACTAAAACGGAGCCTAGGTGCTGACAAGGAAGCCTGGTGGACCAGTCGGGCTCAAGAAATGGAGGAGGCAGGAGCAGTAGGCAATTACCGGAAGCTCTTCCAGCTAATACGCACCACTGGTCCGAGAAAACCAGGCGTCAGTGAGACAATCAGGGACAGCGCGGGTGCGCTGATACACAATAAGGAGCGACGTATGGCTCGTTGGGCTGAGCACTTTGAACATCAGTTCAGCTGGCCCCCTGCTCCCGGACCTCTTCCTACTCAGGTGATGCAGGACGAGCCATGGACGGTTAGTTTAGAGCCTCCGTCGGAGGCCGAGGTCCGAAACGCGATCACAGCCCACAATCGTTTTCGTGCCGCTGGCCCGGATTCCCTACCACCTGCACTATTTAAGGATGGAGGTGAGGTCCTCTGCAAAGCACTGACCTCCCTATTCGAATGTATCTGGAACGAAGAGTGTGCCGGCTAATTGGAGCGAATCGATTATAGTGGCAATATACAAGAAGGGCAGTCGCACAGACTGTGCGAACCACAGGGGTATTAGCCTAACGCCAGTTGTGACAAAATTACTGGCCTCGATTATCGTTCGTCGCCTCACTGCAGAACGGGAATCTCGGATCAGAGAAGAGCAGGCCGGTTTTCGCCCAGGACGTGGCTGTATAGACCATATATTCACTTTGCGGCAGGCGCTAGAGCAGCGCCACGCATACCGCAGACCGACAATAGCTGTGTTCCTCGATTTCAAGAGTGCGTTCGATTCAGTCGATCGATCGATTCTGTTCGAAATACTTGCGCGCAAAGGTGTTTCCACGAAATATGTGAACATCCTTCGTGCTCTATACTCGAACACTACAGGCCGCGTCAGGGTCTACGGTGGCCTATCGGATAGCTTTCCGACTACAAGTGGCGTTCGTCAGGGTTGTCCGATTTCCCCATTTTTGTTCAATTTCGTCGTGGATTCTATCATGCGGAATCTCACGATGTAGGTGTTGAAGTGCTGCCTGGTGAAAGGTTAGTTGATCTAGATTATGCGGACGATATCGTCTTGCTTTTCGACAATGTTGAGGCGGCACAATCAACCCTGAATAGCCTATCCAGAGTGGTCCCATTATTTGGTATGCACTTCGCACCTTCAAAGTGCAAAGTGTTGCTGCAGAACCACCAGCCACTCGATGACCCCTTGACGCTTGCTAACGAGGAACTCGAGGTGATTGATCAATTCACTTATCTTGGCAGCTGCATCAGCGACGATGGGCGCATAGAAACTGACGTCAACTCACGCACTGCAAAGGCCAGAGCTACCTTCTTGAACCTGCGTCATCTTTGGCGACAGAAGGGAGTTTCCCTCCGTCTGAAAGGCCGTGTATACAAGGCCACAGTGAGGGCCGTTCTGCTCTATGGTAGTGAAACTTGGCCCCTTCGGTCTGAAGATCTGAGGCGCCTTCAAGTCTTTGATCATCGTTGTTTGCGAAGCATTGCTGGTGTCGGATGGCACCAGCGTGTCCGCAACGATGATGTGCGTAGGCGAGTACTAGGTGGTGATGATCACGCTAGCTCCCTAGAACAACAGATAGCACTGAATAAGTTACGTTGGCTCGGGCACGTGCTACGCATGCCTGGTCACCGCTTACCTAGGAGGGCCTTGTTCAGTCTACCAGGTGTAGAATGGCGCAAGGCTCGAGGTGGACAGAAGTTGACTTGGCAGCGGGAAATGAAGTCACTGACGACCAAACTGGGTGCCGTTGGTCCGTCTCGCCTTCCGGGTTGGAGTCCACGTGACTCACCTTGTGCTTGGCTCGAGACTTTACAGGACATGGCTCGCAACCGAAACCAGTGGCGCGTCTGCTGCCGTCTCCTAATCGGATTGTCTGTTTAAAGTGTGTTTGGTGCTGAGTTATCTGCGGGGTAATGGCTGATTATGACGCGAGGCAGTGAAAGCCGCAAGGAAGCTGTCTCGCCGATGCCGCCTTATCTTTGCACGATAGCCAGCTGTTTGTGACGGTATGTTGTCTACACAAGGTGTAGGCGCCTTGACCCGGAATGTTTGCTTAGGGCATTAAAGTTTTCAGGTAAGTCCCCCTTCTCTCCTTCTTCTTATTCTTTATTTCATAGGTCTTCATGGTTGTATGGCAGCGAAGCATCAGTTCAAATGGCTGATGTACTGCTGTTGATGATGATTAAAACCTGAATGCGACTTGTTAGAAAGAGTTCAGAGGCGCGGCTCGAAATCCGTCACGGAGCTTCGTGGTCTTGCTTACCCTCTTCGATCCAGAAAGTTTAACATGTTTCCAATGGATTATCGTCGGCGCCGTGGAAATGTTATCTACACCATACGGATCCCAAGAGAAGTTTGGAGTGAGGCACAAAAGCGCTTTCGGCTCAACGTGAACGGCTCGACAGGCCACAAGTGGAAGTTGTACAAAGGCAGAATACTTCACGTCCGTCCAGAGGCTGCCCTATCAATAGGTGTAGTGAATGACTGGAACAATCTACTGAAGTTCTTTTCTGATGCACCGACAGAGGAAAGTGTCAAATTGCTGCTTGACTGCCATCTGATGAGTACCGCAGGGCTCTGCTCCTTCTACTGCAACGATCCCCAGAGGAATACCGCTTCGCAGCCAGTTGCGTCAAATCACGGAATCGACGGAACTGACAAGGGTCTCCCCTAGTGCTTTCCACACACCAATGAACCAATACCCACTCAGAGCGCTCTGCAGTCCCATATCGTCTCGGAAAACAGGTGGTGGACAAGCCTAAACAAAGTATTTCGAACGAAGCCACATAAAAGCCAATAGTAAATTCGCAGATGTGCCAGTCGTTAAGACACCGAAGGAACAAGTAGACCACACTAAAGCAACTACTTATAATCAATCATACAACCTGATTTTCGCAGTCTTTCGATGATGTACTATAGGGACACAAGATGTGTAAGACAATGTAAGAGATTGTATTACGGTAACAGGATACAACAGGTTTTATGGAAGAGACAAGTAGTATCACTTAGTACTGGTATATTTCGTCACGGCCTTCGTCCCCTCTGATACTGCGTGCTTTGCCAATTCACCCGGAAGTAACAGACGAACAGCAGTTTGAACCTCCCGACTGGTAATAGTTGATTTTTTGTTGTATTGAGCAAGTCTGCTGGCCTCACCAGCAACTCGCTCAAAAATGTCATTCACAAAGGAGTTCATGATGGACATAGCCTTCGACGAAATACCAGTATCCGGGTGGACTTGACGTAAGACCTTGTATATGTAAATTGCATAGCTCTCCTTCCTCCTTCTTTTCTTCTTTTTATCAGTTTTCTGTACCTTGACTTTCGCAGATTTTTTTGCGGCCTTGCCAGACACCACCTTGGGCGCCATCTTGTTTCCCGGCAGTCAATCTAACGGGCGCAATTAGTGGCACATGAGTACAACGAGCTGTTCTAACAAGACTGCTGAAAGTCAAAAAAGATTCCTTTCTTTCGCCAAAGTAAAAATGAGTTGATTATACCGATCTTACAAATAATTACACACCGTCCACCTTTTAGTTTCAATAAGCAATTCTGTTTGCACATGAATCGTACTGGACATGCACAACTGGCGGGAACGGGTTTCAGCGACCGGCGTTCAGCTGTACAACAGTATGTATCAAAAGTATGAATAATTAAAATGAGTACGATAGAAAGGACATACAAATCAACTAAAGTAAAAAGAACCTGTTGATTTAACATAAGCAATATTGCATATCGCGTTGTGTGTAAACGATAAATTGCGTTCATTTAGTTGTACAGAACAAGCGGTATCCTATGTCAGCTCCATCGATTCAATCATACCGTGTTCACTGCGTATGGTTACGTTGCGACATTTCTCAAACGGTTCGTCGCAAGTGCAGTGACAACCGTTGGATTTTAGCAATCTCAGTGAAGGTATGTCTAGCAGCCGCTTGAAACTGCCCTCGGATGGTGATTCAGATTCAGATGGACTGGAACGATTAGAAAATCCCTTGAGTGTTCCTTTTTGAACAAATCGTTGAGCCAGGAAATGATAAGGTGTTAGTTCTTGATAAATCTAAAACGAAACACCCGAAACACCCTGATCAACCAATTACTGCCCACGTTCCCTGCACAAGCAGTCCGCGCTGTGTAGGTAGTAAGAAAGAAGTAGAAAGTGAATGGAAGATAAAGGGGGATGAAAGTCATTAAAATGAAGGATAACACAAAAGATTAAAGATAATGACAGAGTAAGAACTGAAAGTTTGAAGATGGATATGGTCAGGAGAAGGGAAATTTTTCGTGTTGCCACCCAAGAGCGTCTAACTGACGCTCGAAACCCTTAACCGTAGGTTCACTGACTACATTTTCTGGAAGCGAGTTCCAGCGCTCGATAACTCTACTAGATAACCGAGTTTCAGTCCTGATCCGATCAGAACGCGGCTTGTGCAGCTTAATGGGATGACCACGAAGACAAGACAACCCAGCCGGGCTAAATAGCCAGCGCAAGTCCGGGCCAACCTTCCCTGTTAAAATGCGGTAAGCAAGGATTAGGTCTCCTCGAAGCCGTCGGTAGTGCATTGCATACATACCCAAGCTAAGTAGACGCTCGGGGTACGATTGCCCCCGTAACCCCTCGACCAATTTGGTACCTACTCTCAAAACCCTCTCAAGCTCCTTTTTGTCCCGAACAAGGCAGGGCGCGCAAGCCTGGAAGCAGTACTCCAGATATGGCCGAACGAGAGCTGAGAACAGCTTCACAAATATGTCGGCAGTTAAGACCCCGAAAGAACGGCGTGTTAACCATAACATTCTGAAACCCCTACTAGCGGCCTTCTTCCAGTTGTCACCAGAATGCAAAGACGCGGAATGAACGACACCTAGGTCTATCTGTTTGGAGACAAGGGGGAGTTCGACCCCACCGAGTACGTAGCTCGAAGGCGGGAAAGTTGCTCCTATACGAAGGACGGAACACTTAGCCTGATTTATGGGCAGTAGCCACAAAGTGGACCAATCCCAGAGTCTGTCCAGTGCATGCTGTATGGCCTCAGAACCCCCAGGAACATTTACAACATTCCAAAGCTTAACGTCATCAGCAAACAATAGCGATGATACCCCAATCTCACCAGGGAGATCGTTTACGTAGATGGAGAACAGCATCGGTCCAAGGACCGAGCCCTGTGGGACACCGCTAAGGACCGCTTGCTTAAAGGATAAGCTGCGACCCACACGTATACACTGCTCTCTTCCCTGCAAAAACGCAGATAACCAGTGAAGGGCGCGGTCAGATACGCCGTAGGACCTCAGCTTATGTGATAGCCTCAAGTGGGGTACCTTATCAAATGCCTTCGGGAAGTCCACGAAAAGCACGTCCACCACGTGGCCATTGTTCACTGCCTCGGCCCAAGCTTCACGAGCAACCAACAAATTCGTCAAACACGAAAATCCCTTCCGGAATCCATGTTGTGCACTACTGAGCAGATTAAATCTATTCAGGTGACATTCCAACGAATCTCTCACCAGCTTTTCAAGCAGTTTGACCACGACGCTAGTCAGGCTAACTGGCCTATAATTGGCTGACAGACTCCTGTCGCCAATTTTGAAGACAGGACAGATGACAGCCTCCTTCTATTCGGAAGGTAATGTACAGCTGTCAAGTGATTTCTGAAACACCATCGTCAGCGGTCCACTTAGTTCCCCCGCCAACTCATGCAGAAGCTTCGGGTGAATTGAATCAGGTCCAGCTGCTTTGGAAGGGTTCAGTTCTTGCAGCTGTTTAAGGACTTGCCGTTCCACCACAGTAAACTCGGCTAAATAAGAGCCATCAGGTACTCTGGGGAAAAGTTCAACGCCAGTCAACGCGGCCTCACGTAAAAAAGCCCCTGCATACTGTTCCTCAAGTACACGAGCCTTACCTGGCGCGCCTGCAATTTCTTCCGGTAGGCAGTTCCAATCATTTAGCATACTATTGGACGGGGCTGTAGTGTCCTGGAGATTCCCTCGTATGACTGAGTACACTATCCTGAAATATATTAAAAGTATAGTTTTTATGTATTATGGAATTAGGCGGTTTGCCTGTTGAAACGTTGTTCCTGTTTGCTTAAAACACGAGCACGATATTGGTATTTGGCGTGTGACTTGACTGCGAACGACGCTCTGCCCCCACACTTGGCGCCCAATTACATCCTCTCTAGCTAGCCCTTTCTGATGCCCCATTTTTAGCATTAGCTAACTCTCCTCCCGTCCAATGAATGTTTTTCCTAGCTTACTTATGTGTGTTCTACCCACTGCCTTTGGTGTGCCATCTAATCTCGTGCCGGATATATAGCGCAAAATAATCGCGCTATAATTGGTGCCACCGAGAGGAAAAGGAACGTTTTGCCGAGTTTGTTACTCATATTCCTTTTCAGATACTGTAACGTATTCCGTTTAGCCTTCTACGTTAACTTTTTACTATTCGGGTTCACTTTTACAAGCTTCATATTTTTTCGCCATGAAACCCATTCACCAAGATCAAAACGATCAGATTAGCGGGTTCCGTTTCTCTATTCCGCCTTTCCGAGATACTAATCCTAAGACCTGGTTTAATCGGCTAGAATCCATTTTTTCGTTACATGGCATTAGGTCTGACAATGTCAAATTGCATTGCGTTGTCACCACCCTTCCTCCGCAAGTCGTCGATGACTTCGATCGTCTCTTGAAGCTTCCAGAATATCAGCCGATTAACGATGAGCGTATAGCCATAGTCTTAAAGCGATTCGGCCTAGCAGAACATTTTTGCACTATGCAGCTTCTTAACGGAACCGAGCTAGGTGCTCGAAAGCCTTTTGAGTTTCTTCACAAGATGCAGACTCTAGCTAACCGCTCCCGTTGGCGACTCCTTCCTTTAAGGGATGTGGCTTCGTCGCCTGCCAAGTGACATGCACAACCCGTGTATGCAAACGATGCGCCTCTTTCTCAGCTCGCCGAAATTGCCGACGGTATTTTGGAATCCATCATCTAAGTATCTCAGCTTCAGTCTACTCCCAGGACAGAGGTAGCAGAACTAAGGGCGTAAGTAGCGGCACTTACCAACCGACTAGAGAACCTACCACCATCCGGATATAACTCCCGGAATCATTCCAGTGGTAGCACGCGTCCTAGGTCACGTTCGAACTCTCCCTCTAGGTTAAGCTACTGCTGGTAACACGAGCGATTTGGTCACCAGGCTGGATCATGTCGCCCGCCCTGTTCCTTCAAGCGCAACATGCAGGGAAACAGGCCGGCCAAGACATAGAGGCAACGTGCGTTGCTGGCTGCCCCATTTGCCTTTTCTTTGTCGCCCATCGCAGTACAGGACTACGCTATCTTGTTGACACCAGCGCAGAGGTCAGCGTTATCTCACGTGATTCTATTGATGGTATTGAAGAGGCGACTATTTCACTGCGTGCAGCAAATGGCACCACCATCTGTTTGTATGCTCAACGCTCGAGCAGGCTTACTTTAAACCTACGAGGTGCTTTTTTTGGAACTTTCCCGTCACAAATGTCCAGATGCCAACAATTTGTTTTGAAGCACTGCAACATTTCGACTTGCTTGTTGAAGCGAGGCAACGCTGTCTGATCGATCGTCCTAGAAACCTGGCAGCTGTAGGCTCTATGACCGACTTTGAGTCAAGCAGTCCTGTATACGCCAACCAGTCAACCTCACCTATCCGTTAGATGCTTAATACCAAGTTCCCGCAAGCCTTTCGTGCAATGACACCGTTTCCATCTGCAACTGATGCTACAGACCTCACATATTTAACAAGGGTCCGCCTGTTTTTGCCAAAGCCAGACTAATGACCCTTGACAAGCTAAAAATTGCTCGCGCCGCTTTCGTACACATGCTTGAACTAGGCATCTTTCGCCCGTCCAAAAGCCCGTGGTATTCGCCGCTCCACATGGTGCCCAAAAGTCAGGAGACTAGCGGTCAGGTGGTGACTACCGCGCGCTCAATAACATTACTGTTCCCGACCGCTATAAATAAAATTCGGCACACTCTCACCTGGTCAGTACAGAGACGCCCCTTAGCTTCTCTTTTACAGGTGTTCATTCCTCAATTATTCGCTGCTATTTTTGCGAAACTTACCCATATATGTGTCCAAAAGACTCACTGGCTTCCCTGGGTCAGCCTATTCTACGCTCCCCAGCAAACCTTCCCACGCAACAGTTGCATCATAGCAAACCGATCCTGTGTTTTCTTTGCTTAACGGCGCAACGCTCTGCATCCAAGGTATACGGTAGCAACCAACCTGTAGGGCTTTGCTTCCGATGAATATTCAAAAGACACTTTTAGCATAATCATTGTTACACATTGTACATCATATGTTTCCTCTAAATGTTAGACCATAGAACATAAATAATGCTTGTTCCCACGTCTGTTCTTTGCGGCCCTGTTTGTCTATCACCTTCTCTTTCTCCGAGGTCTGGAACTTCTTGGGGATCTGGGATCGGAACGTGAAAGAGCTTGTGCCTGGGACAGGACATAGAAACCCCCAAGGACCTACATA